GTACTTAATATAGAGACAGCATTGGCTACACCTTTTATAAACATAGTCTTACTTAATCTCCCAAAAAACTCTGTGGAATGAACATCATATCCATTTTACAGATGGAAAAATTAAGTCTACACAAGTTTAGCCACCTGTTCAATATTCCATGTGAATACACAGTAGCTTATGATCTTTCTCCTGTACAGTAATAACTCTCCAATTAGAGAAGTCAGAAGATCCAGTGGCTTAAATTCTCCATGCATGGTAGTTATTCAAATTTCAATGGTATTCCTTCTCCCTTGCTAGGAATGGAATGTCTCCATGTGAGGAAAAAACGTTATTCTTTTAACTAGTTTTAAGACTTTGATGGTTTGCAGTCTTTATTCATATTTTCATGCTGAACTCAAACATCTCCTCTGTTAGGAAGGCTTATCCTAGCACTTGAGAGAAGGGTCAGGGTCAGTTTCCTCTCTGCAGTTAAGCTTTAATGGGCTCACACCTTAATTATAACACTTAGCATGTTTTATTATAATTATTCGTTAGCTTGTCTATCTTCCCGCCATAGAGGATGCCCTTAAGAGTAGGGGCATTTTTTAAATTTGGCTCACTGGAGATGTCCCATTAATTTTTTATATGAATACACAAATTCATGATTATGTGTTGAATAGGGTATTTGCAACCCCTCAAGGTCCCCAAGTGAGAGAATGGGAAGCCCTAATTAGAGGCTCTCCCTGTAATATGAATCAGAGTCCCAGCAATGGAAGAAGAAACCAGCAGCAAAGGAGTTATTCAAAGCCAATTCTCCCTGTGAAGTAAATCTGAAATGAGAAAGAGGCCAGAAGTCTGCAGCAGTGGGTATTTTAAACATGCTTATTAATAATGGCTCAAAGTAGAGATTTATTACAGTTGAGAATAGGGACAGGGACAGTAAATCAGCATTGGTGAGGAAAAGAGCAAGCGAAAGATATGAATTCTGATTTAAAATGTATTTATATGCTTTATAACCCTGAAGTAGAGATTGCTACTTGGAAGCAGAAGGCTTCATTTGTAGGATCGAATTCACCAAAGGTATGTTTCATGCTGGTAATCATTTTCCCTACTTTAATTTTGCTTTTCTTTGGCTTAAAAGTTGGGGACTTGGTTTATTGCTTGAAAGCAAGAAAGGATTACCTTCGTAGAGTCCCTTCATGAACATATTCGCTGCTTCAAATGATAACTTGTAAAGCACTAGCTGGACCCTAGAAAAGTGCTATTTCATAGGCACATATGTTGAAGAGAATAGTTTTTAAAACATTCAATTAGTTCTGCCTTTGAGATAGAATTGAAACAAATCCAAAGCAATAGGATTAAATTCATGTAAAACTGTTGATTGGGAGCCAATTCTTTCCTCGAACCACTCCAAGGATAATCAAGCTCACCCTTGGTTCTCTTCCAGCCAAGGCGGATACATGCTTTTAATTCGTAAATCAGATCATGGTACTCCCTTGTCTAAAACTCTCAGTGGCTTTCTAATACGTTAGAGTGAAACGTAAATTCCTTCCTGTGGTCTACAGAGCCCTGAAACATCTGTCCCTGGTCTACATGGCCAAACTCATCCCATCTCACTCCTCATCTGGTTCATCAGGTTCAAGTTAACTGGCTTCTTCTCAGTTTCTCGACCATATCAGGCTCTTCTCTACTGTTCTCTCCCCTGCTTTGGACACCCTTCTCCTGGCCACTCTTCAGGAGTGACTTCTCTTAGTCTTCCAGAGTCTGCTAGATGTCATGTACAGAGAAATCATCCCATTCTACCCAGGTTATCTCCCCATGCATGCTTTATTCTATAATTTTTTTACCTTCTTTATTGTGTCTAAAGCATGCTTACCAGAAATTCTAAATGCATAGGTACACACATATAAACTGGAAGTTAACAACATCTCCCATATTCCCCACGAGTCTGCAAGATCCATGAGAGTACCAACAATGTCTGTTTCATTCATTGCTGACTACCCAGCACTGATGACAGCATGGCACACAGTAGGTCCTCTGTAAATGCTTGCTGCATGAATTCTCAGTGTCAAGCCGAATGCCTGGCACATCCTAGGATATCATTCAATTGTGTTTGTCTTGTTCCCATAGGATTTAACAAATTCATATAAGCTGGATAAATTAATTCCAAGTGCTAAGCTCCCTGCCCACAACAGTGTGGCCTCTGCATATTCAGCTGAGTCAAACGACAACTCAGGACAGACGACCAAGGGGGATGCCTAAGAGCTCCAACTGACTCCGGAGCGTCTCCTCTAGGAGTAAAATGTCGTCAAGGCAAATTTTAACTCTCAATATCTGACTTGATTCCTCTGGTTGCTTGGTCTCCTGTTTTGGTGAGAAATGTCTTCCTTTTGTCGGGGGGTGTTGCCACGATGTGTTAATACACTACCCTTGAGCGTTTTAGTTTCACTGGTTTTAGACAAGCAGCTGAGAGGCTGTGCTGTGGGTTTTCCAAAGCTCACGTTTTAAGCAGCTGAAATCACAGTCACTAAGCAAGCGTCTTTCATAGCTCACTGGACACAGAGCCAAAAGACTGCTTGGGATTTGAGGGTGACGGTAACAGTGATGGCATTGCCATGGGAAAATGTGTTGGCAAGACAGCACATTGCTGTGATACGGCAGTGAAGTTCCATTGTTCAGGCTCTGTGAAAATTAATTTGCAAAAAATAGCCAGGGCTGTTGTGTGTTCTAGTTTATATGTAAATTAGAAGATTGTGCCAAGAGGATTCCAAGGGTGGTGCCATTCAAACATTTTCAGACCACTTGTCTGTTAATTAGTTAGAGCAAATCTCACTTAATTTCACTTTATTTACATTAATCTTTTTCTCAACAATGATTGTATCAGTCAAGCTAGAAAAACACATACCATTAGCTAATAAGCCATTAAGAACTGATGGTTCTAACAATGACAGAAAGTTTAAAAATCTGATTTATTGGGACAGCCAGGGAAATGAAGAGAAAGGTATTTCCAAAGTGATTCTCTAAATTTGGAAATAGAGGAAGCATTGTAACATTCTACAGTCCCACCTTTTCTCCCAGGGCTGTGGGTTGGGGTGTTTATAAACCTGAAGGATCAATCATGAGGAGGACAGGTAGGTGTCAGAATCCTGGAGTAACTGAGAGTTCTGCACAAATGCACAGGGAGTGTTTCTTACTCTAAATCTTGAAGCCTAAGTTCATGTATCTAGCCTTGCCCTTGAGGAAGCCTCCTGGCACATTCCCGTACCCCAGTAAGGGTGGACACCCCATACCCTCCTGTTTTCATAGCCTTCCTCCTAAAGCACTTCCCTGGCACTTGATTTTACCAGTTGAAACCTATTCCTGGTACATTTAGCACCTGAGGTTCCTGGACTAGCCTTGACACCTTAATTATTGCCCCAACACTTAACAGTGACTCTAAGAATATTGACTTCTGTCATCCGGGCCAGAACCATGCCCACTCCAGCTGGCCCCACGACATGACCCCTGGAGCAGCTCTTCAGGAGCAGCCGTCCCCATCTGGCCACCTGAGAGCCCTGCATGTGACACCCAGACTCATTCTCTCTTGCCTGAATTGAAGCCTTTTCCCTCTTCAGTCATAGTTCTTTTGATGGCTTTTCAAAAATCCTAACTTTATTTGGGATGGTTGACCTTTCAAGCAGTTTGATTTGAACCTTTACACCTGAAATTTATTTTAACTGGAATATAGGCACTGGTGTTACTCTTGATAGACTGAAAGAGAAATGGTTGCCAAAGTCCTACAGAGGCCATGGACACCATTACCTCTGAAGCTCCCTGAGTCTACAGCCATCTGCTTGTGGATGGGGCCTGCTGGGGAGGAAGGGATTTAGAGCCGTGGACGTGTCATAGCACAAGGGATGTTGAGTCCTGGGTACTGGTTCTTACCCTCCTTCCTGGCCTGTCCCTCACTGTGTGGCCTTGTATTGAGGACTTTATCCTCTACCTTTATGGCCTTAATTTCATATATACATTTAGATCAGATGATCTCTAAGGGGGCTTCGATTTCTGAAAGACTATTAATTTAGGCTGATTTAAAATCAGCAATCCAGTCGTGAATAAACTTAGATCCTCCTTCAGGAATGGAGCCAATGAGCTGGGGTGACTGTGTGTCAGTTGTTTCTCCATTGGCTGATCAGGTAGTTAGAACCAGACCCGCAGGCCCTCGATTGTGAAGTGGGAATTTAAAACCCTGAAACTGTTTGTCATAAAGAATGCCAGGCCCAATAAAAGCAAAAGGCAGATGTTCACATAAAGTTTTTGCTGTTGGTGTTTTTTTGGGGCTACTTTTGGGTGTGATGTTTATTAGTAAGAGCAGCATCTGCCTACCCACATTGCCACATAATAGCAGTCTTGCAATCCATTTATGTGGCTGGAATAATTTTTTTAATGATTTTCATGGGAGTCGATGAAATGCAGGATGTACCAGCTGTAACAACATCTATCATGCAGCTGCTTTCCAGGGAAGGCCCCCAAGTTACTGGAGATGGCCTGGTTGTCAAAGCGGTTATTGTCTCACAGAGTTTTAAAGATCAAAGGATCTGTATTTGTTTCCTATTGCAACTACAACAAATACTCACAACTTAGCGGCTTAAAAAAAAACGCGAATTTATTATCTTACAGCTCTGGAGGTGAGCAGTCCAACCTGAGTCCCGTGGGGTTAAAACCAGTGTCAGTGGGCCAGCGTTCCTTCTGGAGGCTCTAGCGGGGCAGAATCTGCCCCTGTAGCTTCTAGAGGCCACCTGCATTCCCTGGCTCAGGTCCCCTTGCTCCCTATCTTCTGTGCCTCTGACCCCTCTTTCCCTCCTTGAATCTTTCCCTCTATCTCCAACCTTCCTACACCTCTCTCTTAAGAAAGATTCTTTGGATTATATCGGGCCCACCCAGTCAGTCCAGGATAATCTACTCATCTCAAGATCCTTAATTTAATCATTCATGAACAGTACCTTTTACCTTCCTCCCAGACTGATTCTACAGTTTCTTCTTGCTTCTAGTTCCTTCTTTCTGGGGATTGGTGAACTCAGCTTGGAATCTTTGCTCCGTGGGGAAACGACAGTCGCCAGTCAACATAGAAACCAGCCATATGATCTTCGACCCCTTTCTGACGCCCCTTCGCATCAACACTGGGGGCAGGAAGGTAAGCAGCCGCCGCCGTGTTGTTTCCGTGTTCCTGCCCTCACGTAGCTGAGGACGAGGGAGGTGCGGATTCTGAAAGCCCGTCTTCCAGACATCAGTCTCTGTGATGAGTTCATCTTTCCACCTAGGAGTAATATTACAGACCTCAGGCCTACTGCCAACAAATATAATTATGTTTAAATGCACTTTTTCTCCCTAGCTTGGCAAACCCTCCTGCTTGTAATTACTCTTCAGCCCCTGGAGGCTGCCTGAGGGCCTTTCTCTTGATACCCCATGGATGTCAGAAAACAGAGTTGCCTCCCCTGCATATGATGCTGAGAAAATCCTTCCTCTCAGAAACCTCTTTACTGGGGCTTCTTTTAACTTCACCAAAGAGAAAGAGGCATTTTTAGCAAAAGTAAAATCAGACATTTATCATCCTGGAAGGAAAAATAACCAAACAAAATTCACCTTAGATGATCTATAAGAAAATCAATAATTAATCTTCCTAGGGGCATCTTACTGGCTAAGAATCCTAGCTCCGACACAGAAATGCCGAGTTGTGCTTTGTGATTCTCACACCAGCGTCCCTCCTTCCCTCTCCTGCCCCCAGGATGAGCTCCTCCTTAATAATGACCGTTGGGTCTCCTCATCATTGGGATCTAGCATTTCTCTTGCTGGTTCATTTCTCTTTGGCTACCTTTTAGTGTTCATAGATTGCTGACAGTGGAAAAGACACACGTAGAAAATTGTGTTTGAAGGTGATGTAGCGGTTGTGAACTCAAAAGGAATGGAAAATCATTTGTGTGTAAGAAACTGGGGGTACATTTGTGCACCACTTTTGTTGCTGCTGGCAGCTGATTCCCCAGGGTTTGAGTACCTCGGGGTCTGTTGTGTATTCCATTTATGCAGTCTGTTCACTTTACTTAGCATGGAGTTTGTAATTTTTTTGCATTTCTAATCCTTCCTTGAAATCTGTTTTTTCCTACCACATAACTGTCACACACACAAAAAAAACAGCCAAATAAACAAACCTGAAATCTAGTGACCCATCTAAAAGTTGTTAGTGGCTGTGACTCAAGTCACAAGGTGGGTTTTAAAAGACATAGCTCATGATTGAGACTAGTTAGCTGTATAGTATTCTGTGCTCTTTCAAGTATGACTCAAGACATGTTTTTGTAGAAAAGTCCTATGTAGATCATGTACTTTATTGCTTTAATTCCACAGAAAATGAACCTACCCTAATTATTGTTCCACTTGCAGTTCCATTTTTACAAACCCTAAAAGGAGCCTAGTATAGTATTCTGTGCTCTTTCAAGTATGACTCAAGACATGTTTTTGTAGAAAAGTCCTATGTAGATCATGTACTTTATTGCTTTAATTCCACAGAAAATGAACCTACCCTAATTATTGTTCCACTTGCAGTTCCATTTTTACAAACCCTAAAAGGAGCCTGACATAGGTTCTCCATACATCTCTCTCTATAAATGTCAGTCATTCAAGTGACGTCATAAGCACTGATAGGCTCACTGACCACCATTTTAAAAAGGGCAAGTTTTGACTATTTAAAAGTCATTCTTTCTCCCTTGGAGAGGGTATGGAGGGAGTAATTGTATTCTAGGCCAAGGGAAAAGCAGTAAAAAAGCCCAAAGCAGATAGCAGATTGGTGCCTCACTTCCAGAAATGACTTGAAATTTGATCAAGGCTGAAGCCCAGAACCAGAGAGGAAGTGGTGGGGAGATAAGGACGGAAGAGGAAGGCAGAGGCCAGAGTGAGGTGGGGAAAGTGGCAAACTAAGACAATACATGTAGAATTTTGGCTTTTCATCAGACTATCTTAGAGGAAAATGTTGATGTGAAAGAAAAACTAATGCAAGATAGTTTCTGCTTAAAATGTATTGGGAAAGAAGGGGGCTGGAAGATAGCCTGGTGTTAAAAAATCACTCATACGTTATGTTTTGTTTTGGTGTTTTTTGTTGTTGACAAGTGATATTTTTATATTTTCAACTCAGAAAAGTGTACCTGATCCAAACCAATTTTCAAATGCACTGGAGTTTGGAATTTTGGGAACATTTACTTTTCATGATGTAAATATTTATATCTGGCACGATTTCTGTTGTTAGCTGTTTGAATTGCTGAGAACCATCTGATGGTTTCCTTTGCTTTTGTAAAAGGTGAAAAATAAAATAAAGATGTGTAATCGGATACACTAACTGATCATGAATTGCCCAAACTTGGTAGACAATAGCTAGATCATGTTTGCAAGCTTTTTCAAGGAGGTGTTTAATGAGTGGCAGACTTATTTTGGAAGCAGGATTTGAATCACTGTCTGAATTTCGTTTTGTCTTGAAAAAATGTGCATCAACTCAAAAGGTTTAAACACCACTCAGCCAGACTAGTTTTGTAGGATTTGGGCAAGGTACCACATGTTCGAAGTCTGAGATCAGTGGAGGTCAGCATGTTAAATGCATCCCAGCCATTATGTGTTCCATGTCACATTTTTATCCACGAGCATTATTCCTGCCTGTGTTTAAATATATCTTATGCAGAAAACCAGGAAACAGCTCTGCCACAGTCTCTGACTTCTGTTGCTGCATTTGTTTAACCGTGTTTGACCTGGCATAGGGCTCAGATGATGAATTAAGGACTTTTCTTATCATGAGCAAGGGCTGAAATGCAGCCTGAACCCAAGAATTTGAAGAACAGTAACAGATGAGAGTCAAAACATCTTGGGTCTTGGATATAACAGAGGATTTTCATTCATTTTACTTGAACAATGATGTTTCTTTTATCTTTTAAGTTATGTATTTTCAGTGGGGGTTTTTAAGCATGTTTGTTTTTTTCTTAAAGGAAGAGTAGTTTTTTTTCCCCGGCTGTCCATATCTGACATATAGGACTCTTACAAAGTCCAAATTACTTGTACTTTTCAAACAACACTCACTAAAGCTTGGGTTACATGTGGATGCACAAATCCTACCTAGGAACCAATCTGCCACCCTTGACCCCATTAAACATAACTCCCAATAGTCTAAACCATTTTTTTTAAATCTTGGAGTTAATTATTATACATAAAGCTACTAAATCAATTGAGGAATCAAAAGGGGGCAGGTGGAGATAATTCTTCCCTCACGGTCTCAGACTATTTAAAGTCTCTATATATGGGAAACTGGATTATAAGGTAACGGTGTTTAAAGCCCAGTTCAAGCCTGACTGTTTTAAAGATAAAGATCCTTGTTAGCTATTGGACTTGTACGGATTCATATATATTTTGACCTTCCTTGTCTCCTTCCTCAGACCAAAGTGAGTATGCATAACGTGTTTGTGTATTAATTTTCATGTGCTGTACATGAGCAGGCTTCTTGGTAATTTGAAAATAAAAATATGGAATGAAAATATTACCCTAAAGCAATATGAATAGCCCCACTTGATCATTTTGGGGTGTAGTAATTCTTCTAGATACTCGTCTGGACCATTCCCTGGGATAGGAGGAGCCAGAGGGTTGTGGATTAAGAGGTGAGTCTAACTTGTATGGAGGGGATGTGGTCCATAGATGACCTCTCTGCTGATCAAAAATATCTAAAAGAAAAAAAAACATACTAAAACTGAGTTCTAACATCACTTGCTGAATCTACCATTTTAACCAAAATTTAATTTGGGCATCTTTCCTCATATTTTCACTCTTTCAATAAAATCAACATCTCAGTAGTTAATGACATGGGAATTGCTTGTGATACGTTAAATGTAAAAGGTAACATCTAAAACCATCCACTTCATGATTCTAGTTTTGCTTTAAAAGTACCCCTGATATGCATAGAAAAGGGATCAGGATTAAGCAGAATATTATTTTCTTTTTACTTTTCTAAAGTTTCTAGATTTGTGACAGGTTTGTATGAACTGAATAATCTGAAAAAAACCTACTGCCTTTTTAACTCATGTAACCGCAGGGCCTTTATAGGGAGAAGACAGAGGCAGGAGACGCAGAGTGGGCCAAGGAGCTGTGACGTGGACGCAGAGGTCAGAGTGATGCCCTGTCCCAAGCCAGAGAACGCGGGTGACTTCTAGAAGTTGGGAAGGGCAAAGAAAGTAGGGAAAGAGTCTTCCCTAACCTCCAGAGGAACACAGCCCTGCTGACACCTTGGTTTAGGCCCAGCAAGGCTGATTTCTGACTGCCTTCTAGAGTGTAAGATGACACCTCAGATGAGGGAGTAGCCAGCTCCGAGCCACCCACAGCCAAGTGCACCGTTCCCTCTCCAGGTCGGCCAGGCACTCTTTGGAGAAAAGTCACAGACCAAGGGAACCTGTTGATTCGGTCCATGTGAGCCAGCCTCCGGCCGCAGAGCAAGGTAAAGCTGGCTCTAAGGGACAAACGGCAGACACCCTGCACAGGTTTTATCTACATGGCCATTTCCACATTTCCCACATGATGAGCATGAGGAAATGCAGCTCATCCTTACCTATAACACGAGGTGCAAATGCCTCCACCTGGCATTCACAGTCCTTACCACGCTGCCCCAAATCTCCAGAGCCTTACTCTTCTTACATTTTATACGCACCTTTTGTTCCCAGTGAAACTGTACATTTTTTTAATTGACTGTATCTCTCCATTCCCTGTGATCACCTTTGGCCACAACATGCCCTTCCCCAGATATGCCTCAGCGCCCTCGGCCCTTACCTTTTTATTCCTCAACCTCTCCAGCACGAGCACTACCTCCTCCATGAAACACCCCCTGACCTCTTTAGCTGATGGTGAAATCTCTCTACATTTGGCTTCTTAAGTATCTTGCTTATATTTCTTTGGGGATCTGAGCCTTGGCCTGTAGTATATTAGTCTTACTCGCCTTCTGTCCCACTTCTTAGATTAGGAGCTCCTCAAGATAAATGTGATTTCATGGTTTCATTTTATATCCCTGGCATTATCCATGATGGTGCTGGTTGTTTTAAGTTGAATCAATATTATACTCAATAACCAAGGAAAGGGTTTATGTGAATTAAGTCGAAAGTTTCTTGGACGCAGGGGGGAAAA